TAAATGTATTTTATTATATAATAATAATTACTGTTACTGTCTATCATTGTCTAAATGTATTTTTACTGTCTAAATATATGTATTCAGCTAGTGTAAACATACACGCTGCTCTCAGCGAATGCAAGGCTGAGCCTGAATCGTTACTCTTTGTTTCCGCTGAGAGACATGCTGCGTAACTCATTTCCTCGTGCATACGAGTTATCTTAGGTCTGCGTTCACGGTTTGACTTCTGAGATTCAGATCGAGCTCTAGGTCATTTTTTTTTCTCAAACTGGTTGGTTCGACTTTTAAGAAATTCGAGTTCTAATGAGTTCGAGAACTGAGGTACCACTGTAATATCAAGTTAATCAGAAATACGGTGTAGACATTGTTAATGTCCCCTCCAAGAACCACCGCCTTATCGTGGTGGGGGGGTTTGTGTGCCTCCATGATCCTAGGAGCTATGTTAGTGGAGGCAGTTGTCCCTGGTATGGTCTCCGAAGGCAAATTGGTCCTAGGTGAGAGGCCAGACTAAGTGCAGTTCAAACAGACTCCCACAATGAATATTATAAAGGCCCATGTTACCCTGCCTGGATTTGGGAGACCAAGGCCTCCCCCTGGAGCCAGGCCTGGAGTGGGAGATTGAGGGTGTGCACCTGGTGGCCGGGCCTCCACCCATGGGTACACCCTCCTGTGGGTCCACTGCCTATAGGGGGTGCAATGAAGATCGGGTGGCAGTCGAAGGCAGGAACCTTGGTGGACCCATCATCAGCTACCAAAACTGGGTCTATGTACATGGAATGTAACCTCTCTTGTGGGAAAGGAGTGTGAGCAGGTGTGGGAGGTAGAGAGATACCAACTAGATATAGCAGGGTCACCTCAGCCCATGGCTCAGACTCTGGTACCAAACTCCTGGAGAGGGGCTGGACTCTGTTCCGCTCTGGAGGTGCCCATGGTGAGAGGCGTCAGGCAGGGGTAGGTTTACTTATAGCCCCCCAGTTCGGTGCCAGAGCATTGAAGTTCACCCACGGGGATGAGAGGGTCACCTCCCTTCGATTTTGTGTCAGGGGACTGACTCTGATAGTTGTCTATGCGCACGCGCCAAGCACCAGTATCCGGCCTTCTAGGAGGCCTTGGAGAGGGTGCTGGAAGCTCCATTATTCTGCTGGGGGACTTTAGTGCTCATATTGGTAATAAAAGTGAAACCTGGAAGGGGGAGGAATGGCCATCCTGATCGTAATCCGAGCGGTGATCAGTTATTGGACCTCTATGCTCATCACAGTTTGTCCATAACTTAACATAAGGGTGTTCATAAGTGCACTTGGCCCCAGAGCACCCTAGGCCACAGTTTGATGATCGATTTTTCAATTGTATCATTGGGTCTGCATCCATGTGTTTTGGTTCCACCTTCTGTGATGTCATGTGCATACCCTTTGCAGTACGAGGAGCGTAAGAAAATCAGATAAGAGGGTGATGGTCTGGGGGAATTTTATGCTTTTAACAGCAACTAGCAATTTTCAATCTTTGTAAATTTAAACAGTGTTTTGAGAGATGGGAGTAGTGTTTAGTAGAAAATCCCACTAAACAAAGAGCATGCAACTGTGTGGGACAATGCGAGTAATATTAAAAAAGCAATAGATGATTTGGGAGTGGCTGGCTTGCACTGTTTTGCGCACTTGCTGCAGCTTGAGGGGCTGTGATAGCAGAGAAGTGTAAGTGACGCTGTTGCCAGTGGGAGAAAAATAGTGGGGCATTTTAAGCATTCGCCACTTGCGTAAACTCGCTTGGAAAACATTGAAACAACTGCAAATGCCTCAAAAACGCATAAAACATGCCGTACAAACAAGGTGGAACAATACTTTATGTATGTTTCTAGTAGCCTAAAGATTTTTTTATCTGTATTTATTAGTTGAAAAATATTAATATCTAAATTATGTACTATATATTTGTTGTATTAAAATATTAAAGTAAAAAGAGCTCTTGTATCTGAAACTGTATCGGTATCGGCAGTTGCGTATCGGAATGGGATCGGAACTGAAAAGATGTGGATCGTCCATCCCTATTGTTTTAATGAGTATGGAAAGTGTATGTGTCCTATGATGGACTAGCATCCCGCTTTAGGTGTCCTTCCTGTGGTAGTTTCCAAACTCATCATGACTCTGGACAGACTATCCACAACTTTCAACTGGATTCCCTTCCGACAGACAGGTGATACCTCAGTATGGACGTATGTTGGAATAGGACAATCGCGCCGGCTTTTGGTGTGAGAATGAGACAGGGAGGTGCGTGTGCAGCTGGGATGGTCAGACTGCCGTACAGTTCACTACTTTCCTGCAGCAACTATCTTACGCCATGCAGCGACCACTAGGTAGCGTAGCACTGTCGGGCGAACGGCCGCCCGAAGTTTATTTTTACAGACATCTACTTAATTTAAAAACATTGGTCGTACATGCAAGTCGTCGTAAGTCGCATAGGTTATATGTTGGAGACATTCTGTACTGGATCAGTGGTTATGGTCAGGGATGCACGTAACTGGTACGCAAGTACACATTCACCTATAAAAGCGATGCATGCGGCAATCGATCGTTGTAACAGCGCAAATGCACCCAAAATAAGTATGCGTTTGTAGTGTTAGAACAATCGATTGCCGCACATATCACTTTTAAAGGTGAATGCGTACTTGCGTACCAGTTATGTGCATCCCTGGTTATGGTAATAGATAGATAATAATGACTGATGTTGTCTTTTAGTATTTAACTGTGTGTTTGCATTGGGAAAGCTGAGGTTTTCTCCCTAACATCACTCTGGGCCTCCTTGCCTGCCTGCAGCTCCAGCGTACTCCGTCCAGGGATTCCCCAATGGATACCCGGGCTACCCCATCAGCGCAGACTCGTCACACGCTTCGTCTCGCCACCCCTCACTGGCTGACGAGCAAGGCCACAGCCTCATGGGCCTCGATGACCAGGTAAACCATCGGAATGGTTCAGTACGTCACTTGCAAGGTAGTGATGCCACAGTCTGAAATGAGTGTGATTGAAGTGGGTGGAAGCTCAAAAGTTATGTATTCCTTTGTTCCTTTAGACCCACACGTATGTGAACACAGCCACTGTGGAGGGAGAGGTCAGAGGTCGACACTGTGTCCACTCTCTACCTGAGGTACGGCCTAGCCCTTTTCCCGAAACCGCACGGAGTATGCCATCAGCAACAGGCCAGGGGGGTGTCCATCCCAGCATGCACTGCTGTCCCCACGAGGAACACGGAGACCCTCAGGTCTTCCTGCAGACGGCCTCGCAAGAGGCGAAGTTCATGCTGGGACCCACCCCAGCTCAGCGGCACCTCCTGGAACGGGACAGGGAGAGGCATGTGCACCACGGGCACGGAATCCGGGGCTTGGAAGAGGGAGGTGTGGCCTCAGAGGCAGAGCCGCTACACCCACGCAACCCCCACGCGTACCACCACCATCACTACCACCACCATCCGGAGGGCTGCCACATGGCACGGCTCACCTATGAGAATGTCGATGGCCTGCGAGGGGCGGGCCGGCGGGGCGGGATCGCCCGGCGGCTCAACCTGTGTCCTGGCAGCACGTCACACTCCGGGGGGTCCAGCAGTAGCAGCAGTGGAGGGGATGGCCTCCCATTGGCCCTCCCGCACAGTCACAGTCACGGGCCCGCCTCCTTAGCCCCACAAGCCTATGGCTGTGAGCGGGGTGTGGGCATGGCTGGGCCGGGGATGGGTGGGGCCCACCGCAGAACAGCTCTGCTGAATTACGAGAACCTGCCGTCTCTGCCCCCCGTGTGGGAGTACCGAGCCCTGCAGAGGGAGGAGGACGAGGAGGAGGAAGAGGACGAAGAGGGAGGCCAGGAGGAAGACGAGGAGTACGAGGAAGAGGACTATGATGAGTACGAGCTCTCGGAGGGGCCAGGCACGCCCAATGGGTACCACCAGGACGGAGGCCATGCCCTGCGTGATTACGTGAACACGGGGCAGGTGGGACTGGCCCTATCGCGCCGGCAGCACTGCCCGGCGGCCAGGCCGGGGCCAGGCGGGGTATTCAACTTTGATTTCCGCCGGGGTGGGGGAGGGGGGCAGGGTGTGGGTACAGGGGGTTGCGAGCATGGACACACCCCTCCCTCGCGGCAGCTCAACTACATCCAGGTGGAGCTAGACGCCGAGCGAGGCCGTGAGGCCCTGGCAGCGGGAGGGGGCCCTCCGGGTGCTCGTCGCAGTGAGTTCTACGCTGTCATTGACCTGAAGAAGACTGCTGCCATGTCCAACCTGCAGAGGGCGCTGCCACGAGATGACGGCACAGCCCGCAAGACGCGCCACAACAGCACTGACCTACCGCTGTGAACTATGTGTCTGGTCCTGACCCATTCCCTTACCTTCCATGTGATTGGCTGATAGCCTGAAGGGTGGACTAAAACAGTGAAATCAGAAGAACAGTAGAGTGAGAGTCATTCCTCCAATGAGGCCAGGGGGCCGGCCATCCGTGTGAGGGGGGAGGGTCAACCCTTTGGGGTTCTTGTACCACCTCTAAAGCTGTCATCACCTCCTCCTCGTGTTTTATTTCATTTTTGTCTAGAGCTGCTCTTTCCTGTCATTTGTCTTGCCACAGGAAGGGCTGAAGTTTGGTTACTGGTGACCTGAGAGCTCTGAGCCCTTTGTGGTTAGTAGAATGTAAGTCTGTGAAAGGCAAGAACAGTCATGCACATGCACTTGCACAGGCACATGGGCACTAGGAGAGCGACTGCTACAGGAGGGCACCTGCTCCTTTGCAATAAATAGAAACTAGTGTCACATGGACAAAATCCCAAGACTGTACTGTAGCCCCTTACAACCTAGACTGTGCTTTGGTCCCTAAGACCCAAGACAGTACTGTAGCCCATAAGACCCCAGACTGTACTGGATTCACTAAGATCGAGGACGTGGAGCTCAGGCTAAAGGTGTCCGCATTTCCTAGTGCTCAGGGGACAAAGTTAAGTGGAGAACGTTGTCCCACGCATGTGCTGCCTTCACTAAGCCATCACACTGCCTGTAAGAGTGAGAACCGCTTCTCACTGATGTTTGCTAAAGGCTCTCTGGACATATGCTTGTGAAGTAAGGGAACATCCAAGCAGTGTGACGTTTTTATTTGTCCAGTCCGCCCTCACAGAGTTTCAAGTACTTTGTTGTTGCCAGAAAATAAGGCTCAGTCAGTTTTTCCCCACAAATTATAACATTAAATCTGACACAGCAATTCCCTATTCCACATCTAACCCGTGTGTCAAATATTGACAATTTTATTCAAGGGCACATGGTTTTCTGTAATGGAAAAGGCACCTTCAGTGGAAACCATGTCCTGAACACACCCATGTGTTAAGAACAGGGGTTTCCACAGAAATCACCTATAGGTCGGATTGTAACAGCCTTATGGAAACAACAGTCCTTGTTAGCTAATTTAAATACAAAAAATGAATCTGCAAATATCCTGTCAGGTCACCCCGGTACGAAACGGAGAACAGTGGGGATGTAACCTATGTGTTTTCAAGAAGGGTCTGTTTGCTATATTTTATTATTTTAATCAAGTTGCTCACTTTTTATTTTTGCTGCTTTATTTCTTTTTTATCTAACAGTCTGAGATTTGGCCCAGTACGTCCATCTGCATTTCATCATTTTTTTCTGATGGCTGGCAGGTAGAAGCATCCGGTGAGGATGATATCCAGCATGGTGCCTGAGAACTCTCCCGATCTGTCTTTGCTTATTCAGCTATGAATTTAATGGCCATAAACTTCTCTAGTGGCTTTAAGAAACCGTACACTTGCTTGTTGGGCCCATTCACCAGTGCTGCACTCACTGTGGATCGACCCTGAGTCACGGCGGCACCCACAGCAGGCGCCGCAGCCACAAACCAATCGCCGGAGTGCCGTTTTTTGGTTGCCTGCCGTCTGTTGTGCAGAATCCTTGTTACCGAGTGTGTCCTCTATGGGGCAGAATTATCTTTGGTTCAGCTATGCTGCTGTAACTGCCCCACATTGAGAAAGCCTGCAAAAGTTGTGTCTGTTTCACTGTGGAGGTATGACCAGTACGTCTGAATCACACTTTCATCTGACGCACAACTCTTATGTGTGAGGAGTGTGTCTGTTGCGTTAAAGTGCCAAATCTCTGAAATTCACACAGTCTGAACATGCGCGCAGAGAGCATTTGCTCAGTACTTCATTATAGTGCCATTGTGGTCAGCTTGCAACTTGAGGGCTAAGCATTAAAACCCAAATACCTCACTGATGTTATCTTATTTTTAAACTGTGGATGAGGGCCACCTACAGGGACACACCCTACCTTGCAATTTCTTCACTCATAAACCCATGTGCGGTTAGTAGTTTGTATAGATGGTCAGATTGAGTGACCTGCACTTTGTGTGTTTCCCCTGCCCCCTTCAGACTGACCTCTGCTGGAGACACTCTGTATTGCTGGGTCTCCCACAGCAGGTGGTACGGGTTTGACAGAAAAAAAGGGGTCAGAACCCGTGCATTATGGTTCAACTACCAATAATGGTGTATCATGTGGTGCAGGTGTATAGTTTTAGTTCATCTTTAGATTTATCATGACCGCACTTTTGGTTCTATGTCTGTGAAAATATGTGCTGTTCTTTTGTAGGGTTTGTTTGTGTAACTGTAGCGGGCCAGCAGGTAACGACCAAGCTGCTTCAATCCCCTTGTGATAAAGTGGTAGGCTGCTGTCTTGCTTCTGGCCAACCTTGACCAACCAACTGAACCACTTGAGTTCCATGCCAAACTCCCCCCCCCCCACCACAACCATCATCTGGCCAACTTTGTTCTATTTTAGAACATTCATGCAGGATGTGTCTGTCTGTGCCTCCATGTAGGAAATAATGCATATTCCAGATGGTTACTGCATTCCTTTGTGTGTGTGTGTGTGTGTGCGCGTGTGTGTGTGTGCGTGTGCGTGTGGTGTGTGTGGTGTGTGTGCATGTGTGTGTGCATGCGCACGTGTGGTGGGGACCAAATGTCATAATGTCAAAATATTATTTTGACATTGTAGGGACAATTTTTCAGGACCATTTTTTAGGGTTAGGGCTGGGTAGGGGGTTAAGGTCGTCATGTTGGGATTAGGGTTTTCCCCATACAAATGAATAGAGTCCCCACAAAGATATAATTACAAACCTGTGTGCGTGTATGTGTGTGTGCGCGTGTGTTGGAGACACCGTGCTTGCTCGCACATGAAATTGCAGCTGCTACTGAGATCATTGCATTGCTCAGAGGGTGCAGGACAAATGCAGAGCATGGTAGTTGCACATGATGTCTGCAGCTTCTGGATTTCAGCTGCCATAGTTGCAGTCTGATTATTTTGACTGAAATCATGGCTTCATGTATGAGGCTGTGCTCCCGTTATCCATGGAGAAATTTGCCCGATCGTATTATAGTATTACTTCATGTATTAGTGTTACTTTATGCATATAATGACTCATGTCGAATGTCTGAAAAAGTAAATATGTCTAGTAATCCTATCTTGAAGAACATGTATACAGTTTCTTACTAGAGTATGTGGGTGACATTACTGTGTTACTTACTCAGTCCCATTCGCTGTTAAATTTGCCCTTGCGAGAAGCACTGGTCTGGACCTCCAGTTAGTTTGACTTACAGAATTTCTACCTTGTGCCATCAGTTTAATGTGCCATAAGTGAGTGGTGCCAAATCGTCACCACAGATAGCCTGGGCTGGTCATTGGGTAAGCAGAATACCCTAATTTCGAAAGAGTTGACCCCCTATTGTTTACAAAAAAATGTAGACCTTATGTAGGGTAGGAGAAAGTTTCTGTTGTTGAGTCGGTTTGGTCTGCTGCATGGTCAGATATCCTCTGTTCCCTGTTAATCTCTGACCTCTGTTAACCTCTGACCTGTCAGCAGGCATATTCTCAAAGCAGCTAGTGTTGTATTGCATCGTGCCATGTTGACTGTGGCATGTATCCCATGCCCACCTTGACTGCACTGTCTTTCCTCATGTTCTTGTCTACTAAACATGAGTGGTTAGGTTCTGGTAGAGCCCAGACACATTCCCCTACCTCTTTAGTCTTACAAAGAGCAAGCATCCTTTTTTCACATTCATATCAGAACGAGGCTTGTACACTGCGCATTGTATATCATGAAATGACCAGACACAAAACTGTAAGTACATTATTTTGGCGCCTAATTTAACACAAAGTTACGGTTTGCTTTAACTTGTTCTCTCTAACGATCTCAGACAAACACAGTCCAGCACCCATTGCCCATAGCCTGCCCGTGGCAGTGGCAGTGTTTCATATGAATGATTCTGTTTTTTCCCCACCAGAAAGGAGGCTTAGGATTTGCCGCGGACACTGTTCTGTCAGCCATTCTCCTGGTTGGTCTCAGATGGACTTCTTTGCATTTCTGCCGTCTTTCTCCAGTGCGCCCCTGGAGTCTCGTTCCGTCCGGCAGTGTATGAAAGGGTCCCTGTCTATATACTGTCTATATATCGTTTCCTTTGGGTTTTTTTTTGTACAGAAAGCATGTTCCTTTAAGTACTGAATTTGTTCCAGTAGGCTGTAAATACTCGCTTTCAGTACTTGTCTTGTTTGTGTCTGTCAGTCTGTCTGTCTGTATCCTGGTCAGAGTGCTATTGTAAGAAAAGAGAAGAAAAAATTCTAATCTTTTACTGTTGTGTATTTCTTATTCCAATATATACCTTTGTTTAAAAAAATGCTTAGAATGTATGAGTAGGGTAAGACTAATTTGTTGAGCTCTTTTCACAGGATTTCATCTAACGGAAAGAATTAGACTTTTTTTGTACATATTTTCAGAAATTTATGTGGAATCGTTCTGTTTAGAGCAAAAAACAACGTCAGTTCCTACACTGTCATTTCCAGAGGCAAAACCTGACCTGCTGTGGGATTTTTTTGGTTGCTTGCAAAAACCTGTTTGGCTGTTTCTGCCTTGTGGCCCTCAGTGTGGGATACGGTGGAGTCACAGCCTTCTGCTGGCCAGTGAGGAGCATCTCTCAAACATCTGAATCCACCCCCAGTTCCTTCAGATTCAGGTTTTGTATTCTGTTTCTTGTACACCGATGACATGTTGGCACGTGGGAAAAACAGTGCGATTTGATTTCGATTGTCTTCTTTTTGTAACTTGAATATTCAAGTGCAGCGTGCTGTAAGGTTGTATTAGGCCTTTAGTGTTTTGAGTGTTTTAGGTGGAATCCCTTGCAATATGACCCTGATGACACTAAGCTCTGAAGCTAGTCTGTCTTTCACTGGCTTTTACCATACTTTTGGATAATTTTGTGTTTCTTTTTTTTTGGGGGGGGGGGGGGGCTGGGGGGTTACTAAAATACTCTCCATAAAGGAGTGATGTTGACGGAACAGTGTTTTGGAAACTGACTTGACGGAGAGCATTGCACAAATTTGTAGCTGTATTGACTAACTGCTCCAAAATAGAGAACAGTGGTTGATGCGCTAACCATTTGTCAGTAATCTTAAAAGGACATTTGCAAATTATTTATTTAATTTATTTCTTGTTTAATACTTGAAATCCTTTTCTGGAGAAACTTATTGTTTTTGTCTTTAGCTCCATACATCCTGTACGTACATATGCTTGTCACATTTTTTGGATCATTGATACTTTTAAGAGGTTATGTGCCTGAATCTGTACATTTTTTGGGACGGGACAGGGGGCAGCGCATGTCCCTGCATGCATGCCATCTTACAAACTCACATGGGCCTTCTTCTTGTGTTGTAGCCCCACAAGTGTGGAGTCATACTGGCTTCAAAAGATCATCTCAGCATTTGAGTGCCTTTAAATCCTCCACTTTTCTCTGAAATCTCGGCTGTTCGATCCCACCTGACTTCCTCATCTGACGTAGGAAGTTTGAACTCCTGAGACAGCCTGGATATAGTCATTCCGTCCACATAACCTCTCTCATTGGCTGCCGTCATTCCATTGTTCCAAGGTCTTTTTGTTCAGTTTCTCTGATTTATATATATTTTTTACAGATTTATCTTTTTGTAAAATAAAACAAGATATCCTTCTCATTCTGCAATTAAATGTTGCATATTTTCTACTAATTTAAAGGGCTACATACACATTCAGTGTTGAGGAGGTGTTAGTTTTCAACAGTTGGTCAAAAACTAAATTGATCGTCAGGGAAACTGTCACAGTAGTGCCGCCCCTTTCAGGGATAGATTGAGGCTCAGGCGATGCCATGGAGAAGAGATTGTCTGGTACTTACGAATGTGAGCAGTGGCAAGACTGTCAAAGGTCATGCAGTACCATACTGGAACATCTCTGTGGTCCTCACCAAGAGCATCTCTAAACTAGTGAGTGTTATCGTCAGCATCTTTATGGTCCTCACCTTCATGATCAGCTTCACTTAGTATCCCCTTTCGCTGCTAAACACAGAAACATGTGGTGTCTGAATATTGAAAGGGTTTCCACCTCAGTACTGCCTTCTGTTATCAACTTAGGGTAATATTAATAGAAATAATTCCGGCAGTTAAAATTCCTATTGGTGAATTGGAAGATTTATAAATAAATGCATATACACACTTTAATTTTTGTTTTATACTTGATGTTTGTTTTGTGAAAATCGGATAATTGTGTGTGTGCGTGTGTGTATACACAAGCACACAGGTAAGATTATGTGTATACACACAGGTATATGTATAAAACATTGAACTGTAACTGTTTTAGGTTGGAACTAGCTCCGTCCCATGGCTGTTTCCACATTCTGTATGAAGCTCTACTAAAAACAAGCCAGATCAGCAGCACATGGCTGGAATGCTGTACCATAATGAAGTTAATGTGCACTGAAATCCATATACTGAATAAAGGTTAAACATGGAGAGTTTTTGCCAAGTGTCTGTTTGGAATTTAGTGTGTGTGAAACTGTGGACTCATGAAACATCCATCCATCCATTATCTATACTGCTTTATCCATCTGGGTTGTGGGTAAGCCCGAGCCAATCCCAGCACCATTGGGTGAGAGGCTGGGTTCACCCTGGGCAGGTCGCCAGTCCACCACAGGGCCAACACAGACAAACAGCCACACCTATGGGCAATTTAGAGTAGCCAGGTGACCCAATCTGCATGTCTTGTGGACAATCTGCACAGAAAGGCACCCTGAGGATTGAACCCAGGACCTTCTTGCTGTGAGGTAACAATTTTAACCACTGAACCACAATGCTGCACCCCCCCCATGTCACCAGTTATTTTACAGTTTCTGATTATAATTTATATAGTGACTGCCTTTGAGTGCTTTTTAGAGATTTACAGGAAATTGTAAAACACAAAACTGAAAAAAAGAAACAGTTGTGTGTGTGTGGGGTGGCTGGCAGCTGTGTGGGTGCGCTGGCTGGCAGCTGTGTGGGTGGGGTGGCTGGCAGCTGTGTGGGGGGGTGGCTGGCAGCTGTGTGGGTGCGCTGGCTGGCAGCTGTGTGGGTGCGCTGGCTGGCAGCTGTGTGGGTGGGGTGGCTGGCAGCTGTGTGGGTGCGCTGGCTGGCAGCTGTGTGGGTGCGCTGGCTGGCAGCTGTGTGGGTGCGCTGGCTGGCAGCTGTGTGGGGGGGTGGCTGGCAGCTGTGTGGGTGATCTGTGAGCTCCGGGTCATGCAGTCCCAAGTGGGGGGCAGAAAGGAAAGCAGATAATGGGGACCTCCTGTCTTTCCTGGCACACTTCTGGTGTTTGTATGTTGTTCACAAAATGCTTACAGACCGAGAGTGGTGGGGATGGGTGCTGGTGGATCGGCTAGATTAAGTGATGTAGGGTGTGGCAGCTGTGTGTGTGCTGACCAAAGCTTAGTTCCGTCCTGCTCCCACCATGCACCTGAACCACGGAAATTCAGGAGCCTGCAGCTTGCTTAGGTCTGTCGGTGCAGGATGTGGGATGTGAACCGTGTTCCTCTGAACTGACCTTGTTAACTAGTTTGGAATAGCCGGGCCTGTGCGGAATCTTACTTGATTTTAGCAGAAAAACCAGGAAGAGTTCCAAGGTGGTTTACTAAGGAAATTAAGAATAAAGTCAGGAGGAAAAGGGCTCTGTTCCACAATTGGAAAACAACTAATGATTTCAAAATTAAGCAGGAGTATCTAAGTCTACAGGCAGAGTTAAAAAATGACATTAGGCTATCCAAGAGGGATGTAGAAAGAAAAATTGCATTGGAGGCTAAGCATGACAGTAAAGGTTTCTTCCAATATTTTAACTCCAAGAGAGCTCTAAAAGCTGAAATCACTAATTTGCAGGATAGTTAAGGGCCTTATAATTGATAACGAAATTGATATAGTAAA